TTTATTCTGCTCTTGACGTCTTTAGTAGAGTGTATTATAAATTTAAGAAGCACTTTGTAACACTCTGAAATAATAATGCAAGGAAGCGAGTAATTTAATTTTTTTTTTTTAATGGTGAAAATAATGTGATATGTAAAATATTTTAATTTTTTGTATCAAACAGATAAATTGCAATTTTTGTCATTTCAGTTTTCGTTCTAGCTGTTGCAGATGACCCCATTGGACTTTTTGCTTTTATCATTAACGAAATACACTTTACGTTTTTGCCAATCAATTTCATTTTATTTATTTTTTGTTTATGGCAACTAATGTTGCTTTAAAATGTATAACGCATTTTATATTCTCATTGAATTGTAATATGAAAACTGGAAAAAAAGAAAATGAATTGATTGCTGATAGTGATATGTAGATCAACAATTGTTAGCTACTTTTTTATGAGCGTTTTTCAAATAATGCCATTTTTTTTGTTTTTATTTTTTATTTATGTATTTTTTTTATTGATACTGTAGTCTATTAAGGTTTATTAAAAAAAAGGGAAATAAAGTCAAATCGAATTAAATAAAAGCATATGCTGATTTCCTGGTTTCAATGGGTTCAGTGTATGAAAATATTGTATGCGAATAGTTCGAGTTGCATAGAAAATATTTAATCTAAGGGAGAGAGAAGAAGAACAATGCACAAAGGATAGTGGTATATATTAATAATTTTCATGTTTACTTAATGCATATGCTCCCGGATTCTCTTTGGTATAATTCATTTAGAATTTATATAAAATTATTTTGTAACTTTATTAAAGAAAACAACAATTTTAATAAATATTTTTTAGATATCATAGAAAGCCACAAGGATATCACTATTATTTTTATAATTTATCCAAGCCAATATATAACTCCATTCAGTTGGGAATACTTAAGTATAGAGTATCCTGCACTTCGTGATTGTGTCAACTGCAATTTCTTTCTCTCAACCTCCTCCACCCCGTTGTTTGCATTGCATCTCTAAATTTTCGTTTGCTGCTCCTGCGTCGTGCTGCTTGATGCTGTTGTTGTCGTCTCTGCTATTTTCATTGCAATAGTTTGGCAAACTCTGCTTTCGTTTTAATGCGAAAACTTTGAAAACTAACGACGAGCAGCTCCAAATAAATAAAGTGTTTAGCTTGTTTTTTATAGCCGGATGTACAGGATAAACATTTTGTGTGACATAATTGCAGCCAAGTTGGCCGGAAGATGTGCACAAATTTAAAAAACACCCAAAAACAAAAAAAAAATATATATATATATGAGAAAGCAAATAAAAACACTTGAAGAAACTTGCTAGCTAAAGCGTTGCTAAGTTGAGTCTAGCTGGCATTAGACATGACTGCGATTATATTTTAATTAACATTAATATTCTAGAGGTAGTTTATGCTGCGCATGAGAAGTTGGGGCGAGTCCTTCATTCGCTCATTCCAAAATATCAAAATTGAAGAAATGAAAATATTTTTACTTTAATTTAATGGCATTTGCTTGAATTCCATTTAGGTAAATCTATCAGAGCGACACAATTGTAACGACTTGAGTCGTGTCACGCGCACAGCTCTAGGCTGCATGTCCTGCCAGCAGTGTGTCTGTAGACTTACCGCTCCAACTGTCTTTGTGTTGAGCCATCTTTTTCAACGTCTTGTTGCTGGGCCTGAGCTAGGTGCAGCTTCAAGGTCTTCTCGCTGCCTGTGTCCGTGTACGTGCCACATTCGTTGTCTGCCTGCCACATGAACGACAGACAGTCACAACGAGCAGCTGTCATGGCCGCCAGCTGTCAACTGGAGCTGATCATCGCGTTGTGCAGCGAACAAATTACATTTCGATTTCCGTTTTCCTTTCCTTTCTGCCTCGTAGTCATTTTTCTCTCAGTCACACACACGCACGCACACACACATACACATTCACATATACGTGTTGCCCTTTCGCCCACCTAGCAGTGCATTATGCAACTGTCTCTGCCGCAATCGGTTGAGGTCCGCTCGGAAAATGTGCTCCACAGCAAAAAGTTTTATTAATACAAAATGTAAGAGGCGCGCGTGGGATTCCAGATTAGTCTTTGCTATTGAATACTAGCTTTTCTATGAATCATAGCCTAATACAATTACTACCATTAAATACAATTGTATTGAATTATTTATAAAGGCTGGAAATACCATAAAGTTTAAAGAGCAACTTAAATGGGAGCTGGAAATACAATCAGGTTTAAAGAGTAAACTTAAATTGATATAAAAATGATTACAACAGCAACTGGCATTAGCTTTAAAGCGTGTTTCAGCATCGAACGATTGTAGACTCAATTCCCGCAGGCAACATTTATCTGGAGACTGTTTTGGGCAGCAAACTTGCCAACAAAGGTCAATTGGCCAGCTTAGAAAATAAGGCCAAAAGTGAAATTTGATAAGAAAAACCGCAAATTGTTTTATTTTTTTTTTATTATTATTTTTTTTTTTTTCACATGAAAACATTTAAAGTGATTTTATTTTTATTTATTAAATTTATATTTTAGTATTCGAATTTTTGTTTACAATTGGAATTCAAACTTGATTTTCTATTCTAATATGATATACACACTTTCTAAAAATAAATTTATTATATATTAAAATTATTATATATTAAAATTCTTCCATATAAACATTGATTATATATCTCTTGTACGCTTTTACATAGAGCCATGGGGGCACCCATATATTTTTTGCGCATATACGCAATTTATATCAAAAAAATCGAAAATGAAATGATTTTTATAATTTCATTTTTTCATTTTTCATTTCTTTATGCTTCAATTAATTCTGCATTTCCATTTTTTATGCAGTAGCCAAAAGCAATTTTTTCTTTAAACCGTTTTTTAGGTTTCATACATTTACGATTTTTTTTTCTCTTTGCATTTACAATCAAATGTTTGTAAATAATTAAATTTTTGTATTTTCATTTTTTTAGCCAACAAAATTGGCATAAAGTCATTTAGTTCAGAGTATTCCCAGTTGAAGGCCGAATGCAAATATGTAGTTTGCAAAATGATTTATCAATTGTCACGAACTGCAATTGTCGTCAGGTCTTGTGTAAACTGCACAATTCGCAACTAGTTGCTCGACTGTGATTAGTTTTTGGCCATTTGTCAGCCATTTAGACAAACACATCGCAGCCCTAAAACCAAACTTGAATACAAATTTAAATTTAATCATTATGTTGAAGAGCACCATAGTTGCTGTTGTTGTTGTAGTTGTCAGCATTGATTCCAGTCATGTGGCTTTTGGCTGTGGCCAATTACAAAACTTTAGCAGACTGGAGTCAAGCGCAGGCCCAGCCGGATGCACTTTATATGCTGCCTATGTAAAATATAAATTATAATTTAATTTTGTTGGACCATTTAATTTGCAGCAGAGCCACACACAGGCATACACACGCACATGCACATGCACACACACAAATATATGTGAGAGCACTCTAGCTGCCATATACAACATGCAAAAGCATAATGCAATTAAATATTAATCATACGCACTGTGGGTTACTGCAATAGAGGCCGAAGGCCAGCATATTGGCTAACTGCCTGGTAGCTTCAATTGGTGTATCGACAAATTAGCAAATTGCACATACATCAATTGACTAATTAGTGTTAAAAGCAAGAGCTTCTCCCTCAGTATGCGTGTGCGTGTGTTTGTGTTTTTGTCTGTGTAATACAGAACACACACACTTCAAGTCCGGAAATAACAGAATTTAGTCGCATATTCATACGGCTGGCATTGGCCTGGCCTAGCGAGTCGGTGCTAGAATTTACCAAACTAATTTCCTTATTTGACAAATGCGGGTCATGCCGCCCATCCATGCGGGCGGGCGTGCCGTTTCGAACAGACGCTCTGCCGATTCCATTCCGATTCCGAATGGAAGTGAAAATTTAATTTGCACTTCGCACTTGCAGCGCTTTAATGAGAGCCGCACAATTGCAATTAAAATGGTGAAGCCAAATCGCTTTTAATTTGTATACCCTTTGCCAGTGGGGCTCATACCATGCA